ACTGCTGAGTTTTCCAAATTTGCTGGCATATTGAGTGCAGCACTTTCACAGCATCATCTTTCAGGATTTGAAATAGCTTAACTGGAATTCCATCACCTCCACTAGCTTTGTTCATAGTGATGCTTTCTAAGGCCCACTTGACTTCACATTCCAGGATGTCTGGCTCTAGGTAAGTGATCACAGCATCGTTATTATCTGGGTCATGAAGATCTTTTTTGTACTAGAGACAACCTTTAACATCCCTTCCCACCCTCATTCAAGCTACAGAAACTAACACAACATTGACAGCAATCAATTTGCCGAGAACCAAAAACACCACCCCCAAAACAAAGCACACAAGCAAAACACTTTGAAGGAGACTCTATGCAACCTGGAGCCCTTGGCACACTGAGAAGAATGGCTGTAACCGGTCCTGCTTCCCATCCAGGTGTTCCGCCAGGTGTGGTCAATGTTGTGTTTGGAACGGGGCCCAGGGTCGGCGAGGCCCTGGTGTCCCACCCAGACGTACCCCTCATCTCCTTCACTGGGAGCCAGCCCACTGCCGAGCGCATCACACAGCTAAGTGCCCCCCACTGCAAGAAGCTCTCGCTGGAGCTGGGGGGCAAGAACCCTGCCATCATCTTTGAAGATGCCAACCTGGACGAGTGCATCCCGACCACTGTCAGGTCCAGCTTTGCCAACCAGGTGTGTCCTCTGTTTTCTTCCTCCCCCTTTGTTATTTGCTTGTTTTTAACTCAGTAGCCTTGCCAAACTGCATCTGTGGTGTCATAGTGACAACCGGGTTGAGTAGGTCAATGCAGGGCTCTTTCAGTGAAAGGAGAATGGTTGCGTTGCGTTACTCTTTTGACTGTCTGTTCAATCTTAATGTCACTGGGAGGCATTGTGGCATCACAGCTCCTGTTTAGCAAGTTCTTCTTCTCCAGCTGTTCAGTTGCTCAGTCAGGTCCCCCGCTTTGTGACCCCATGGACTTCCCTGTCCTTCACTATATCCTGGAGTTTGCTCAAACTCATGTCCATTGAGCCGATGATGCCATCCAACCCTCTTATCCTCTGTCGCCCTCTTCTCCTCTTGCTCTCAGAACTTTTATGGGGGACCAGCCATGGGCCAAATGATTGCTTTCTGGCTTCTCCATTCCTTTATTTATACTTTCCCCAGTCTTTTCTTGCTGTCCAAGAGTCCTATTTCTTGGAAACTTTATTCTCTGCCCCCACCCAAAAGCACCTCAAATGCATTCACACATTTAGAAATAAATACTTGAATCAGTCTCAAGCAGGTTTCTTACCTTGAAATCATGGAGGAGCCTCGAGCAACTTTGTATTTCCTAATCACTGGAAGAACTGTTGTGAAGATCCAGTATCAGTGTGATGAAAAATTTGTTTATGTGACCAGGTGCCATCATACATACACAGTACTGACAAGTCCAGAATGTGGTTTGTCAATGGTCACATGTTATGCTCAAATAGTAGTAAGGATGACCTTTCACTCAAAAACCTGTTGGTGCCTCTCCCTGGAACACCCAGTGTCTCTGGATGGCCAGTGTCATCTGAAACTTCACCTGAACAAAACAGGACTTCTGATTTCCCTCCCTCTCCTTTCCCCGCAGTGTCTCTGATTTTCCTGCCTTGTGTCCACCATTCTGAAGAAGAGACTACCATCCACCATGTGCTTGGGCCAGAAATCTGGGACTCGTCCTTGTTCTAACCTCCTCTTTTCCTTAAACCTCCCTTACCCGCCAGTAGGTCCTGCTGGTTCTGTCTTTAAGGTGTATCCTGCATCTTCTTCAGAGCACCTTTGCCAGTTTCTTTACACTTTTGGGGTCCCCTTTGCCCCTTTAAGAATCTGTTGACCTCAGTGGACTCCTTCCCCTTCTCTCATCTCCATTGATTCCACCTGGTTCAAGGTGCCTCCCCTCACCCAGCTGTCTGAAAAGCTCTCCTAACCCACTCTCAATCCTCTCCAATTCTGTTCTCCACACAGCTGCCAGAATGATCATTTAAAAATGTAACTCCCAACCACCTCTTCTTGCTGCTTAAAGCTGTCCATGATCCTTTCATGATACTGAGGATAAAATGCAAGCTCCTTGTGAGCCTGTGAGCCTATAAGATGCTGCATGATGTTGCCTTGCTCCTCACCTCCTGCCTGTATTTCCCATGTTGCTCTGACCCCCAGCCCTGCCTCCACCCCCCAGCCTCAGCCCCGTTCACCTTCCTCACTTTCCTCACACACTCCAAGCTCATTTCTCTGGCAGGTCCTCTACACTTACTGCTGAGAATTCTGTACCTCTATCCATCCGGCTCCTTCACATCAATCAAGGGTCAGTTCCAACATTCCCTATTCACCAGTGTCATCCAGGACTCCGTTTAATAAAAGGGAGTAAAAGTTCTCCCTCCCCACTCATTTCTACTCTTATCCTCAACTTAATTTTCTTGTATTGTTTTGGTCGTGGCCTGAAGTTGTATTATTTATTGAGCTTTATTGCGTTCCCCACAAGACACTGTGTTCCAGATGGTGGGACTTTGTCTTGTTTACCGCTGTTCCCCATTATCTAGCCCAGTGCCCGATCGTGGCAGACACTCACAGGTGCAGGGGGAGCCGTCCGTGAAGTGGAGCCCCTGTCTTGTCCTTGTCCTCATGAGTCATTCTTGGCAGGGTGAAATCTGCCTCTGTACCAGCAGAATCTTTGTCCAGAGGAGCATCTATAGTGAATTTTTAAAGAGGTTTGTAGAGGCGACCAGAATGTGGAAAGTTGGTATTCCTTCTGACACATCAGCTGACATGGGAGCTCTGATCAGTCAAGCTCATCTGGAGAAAGTAAGTAAAACCCTCTGTCTAAGTTTCAGAAAGAATTCTTAATTTTTTTTTTTTAATTTTGTATTGGGGTATAGTCAATTAACAATGTTGTGACAGTTTTGGGTGAAGAGCAGAGTGACTCAGCCACACATATCCATGTATCATTCTCCCCCAAGCTCTCTGCCATCCAGGCTGCCACATGACATTGAGCTGAGTTCCCTGTGCTGTTCAGAAGGGCCTTGTTAGTTTTCCTTTGAATATAACCATGTTCCATGTACTATGCCAGGCTTCCCTGGTGGTTCAGATGGTAAGGAATCTGCCTGCACTGTGGGAGACCCAGGTTTGATCCCTGGGTCAGGAAGATCCCCTGGAGGAGAAAGTGGCAACCCATTCCAGTATTCTTGCCTGGAAAACCCCATAGACAGAGAAGCCCGGCAGGCTACAGTCCCTGGGATAGCCACAAAGAGTTGGCCATCTATAGAGCAGGTCCTTGTTGATTATCCGTTTTAAATACAGCAGAGTGTACATGCCCATCCCAAACTCCCTAACTATCCCTTTCCCTGGTCCTTCCCCTTGGCAACCGTTAATTTGTCCTCTTAAATCTGTGAGTCCAGAAAGAATTCTTTTTTTTTTATTTTTTTTTTTAAATTATGATCTGTGGGAAATTGTCTCTGGGTACCGAGTCTGAAAATGTTACAGATAGATACACAAATACAGTCAAGTTAAAGCAGCGCCTACGTGACATCAATAAACTTGGGAAGTCAGCATGGAGTCTGGAGTGAGGAAAGCAAATATCAAAGCACAAAGGCCAGCTGACGAGAATGTTGTGGGCTGAGGGTGGCAGGTATTTCCACAGGTAAGTGTTCCCAGTCAGTCCTCAGGCAATGAGGTTCTGCCTCTGGGTGATAGCACATGGGATTTTGGAAGTGCGAATTCAGTCTGAACCACGTGGACTTTAGCTGGTGGGGTGACTTGTGGGGTCTTTGTGGGAGAAGCCATTGAAGCAAGTGTTCTCTGGGTGCTTTGTGGAATTTGGGTCTTTAAGATCGTTTCCATTTCCTGATGAGACTCCCACAAGAAGTCCTAGAATTTTGGAGCTAAGAGGTCTCATTGTGAGCTACAGTAATGAAGACCAACCTAGGGCAGTGGCAGTACGCTCCCATGGGTCAAGTGCTGAGGGACGGAGCCTTTACGCAGATTCAGCAGACTTGCTAATGTGAACTGTGACTTTCACTGTACTTTGAAGCACAGATGCCCACAGGTCGGAAAGTGTAGTGTCAATCTTCCCAGTCTCTTCTTACTCCTGTTGTTTTCTCAGTAAAATAGGAAGCAAAGTGAGGAGGGGAGATGGTGTTGAAGGTTTCAAGGAGGAGAAAAAGTTCTGAGACAGTCCTCAAGGAGATCAGGAAAGAGAGAAATGGACTTGAAGTGACTGTATTGTCAGCCGGGCAGCTCCAAGGGCTCCCCCCGGGGCTGTGATCACTTGTGGTCACACTAACAAAGCATGCAGTCATTGATTTAAAGGGAGGCCGGCCAGCATGGCTGTGTCTTCCTCCAGCCAGATGCACCTGCATGATTGCAGGCCTACGGGTAGCAGTCCCCAGAGTGCCCCCGGGGGACCCACAGCTGTGGACGGTCCCACCTTGTGAAGCGGGGTGTCACCTGGTGTAAGAGGCCCCCGGGTTCTCTCTCATCTGACTGTTCTGAACTCAGGGGTCCATGCTGTAAACCAACACATGCAAATAAGTGGTGTAAAATAACTTTTGCCTCTTTCCAGTTGCTTCCTGTGGAGCAAAATTACCTTTCCAGGAGCTTCTTTCATTAAGCTCAGGCCATGTGCTGTCTGTATTTAGTCGCTTAGCTGTGTCCAACTCTTTGCACCTCCATGGACTGTAGCCTACCAGGTTCCTCTGTCCATGGGATTCTCCAGGCAGGAATACTGGAGTGGGTTGGATGCCCTCCTTCAGGGGATCTTCCCAACCCAGGGATTGAACTCAGGGCTTCCACACTGCAGGTGGATTCTTTATTGTCTGAGCTACCAGGGAAGCTCAGGCCATGGCACCATCTAAGATCCCCTGTGCAATTCACCAACTCACCGGAGACTCAAAGCTCTCTTCATCAACTCAGCAGAGAAACTGTTTTTCTATCCTAGGCACTGTCATAACCATTAAGTTCTCCAATGAGGGGAGGTACGTCAGTGAAGCAAATCAAAGCATTTGACTTTCCTGTAGCAGTTGAATGACGTGTAGCCCCTCTATGTGTGTGCACGTGCATGCACGCATGCACACACACACAAACTGTCTTGTATGTGTGAGAGAACCGACACCATTCACAGACTCCTATTGGTAGTTATGACTTTTCTTGGCCATATTCTGATTATTTCTCCCTTTTGCCCCATACAGTGAACTCGGACCAAATATAGACTTTCTGGGTTTCCCTGTATTGTAGCTCCTCTGAGGGTTAATGCAATATTTGCGATGTTCAGTGTATTCCTGCTGGCTCAAAGGGGCCTGCCCTCTCTTTAGCCCCCCACCCCCCACACCCTCCTGAACTCGACCACAGGCTCTCCTCCAGGCATCTCTGTTCTCCAACAACAAGCAGCCTCAAGCTGAGTGAGCTATGCTACCCGACGTGGGCAATAGGACCTTTGTCTACTGAGCCCTGGTTCCATTCAGAGAAGAGTAAACAAAGCCAGCTTCTGACCCTATTGTGTTCAATGGCTCAGTCGTGTGTCTGACTCTTTGCAACCCCATGGGCTGCAGCACACCAGGCTTCCCTGTCCATCACCAACTCCCGGAGCTGGTCAAACTCATTTCCGTCGCGTCAGCGATGCCATCCAACCATCTCATCCTGCTTCCCCCTTCTCCTCCTGCCCTCAGTCTTTCCCAGCATCAGAGCCTGACACTGTGGCACCCTTTGGATGATGCCTCATGATGACGACAGTCAAGAGGGGGCCACTTAAAGTCTGGTTGTGCTAAGCTCAAACACACTGCCCTTTAAGACATCCGTCTTGAAAAGAGGGTACCTCATGGGGTTGCAAAGAATCAGACATGACTGAACGACTTCACACACACACATACACACACACATACCCCAAAAAGTTCTGAGGTTCTACTGGAAGATATTGCGGTGTTAAAAAATATTTTTTCACAGTTAAAAACTTAAAAATAGTATTCATCATCAGCCATTTATTTTTATATTTTAGGGAAGAACAATACAGATGGTATTTCCGTTATCCTACGGCATGCAAAAGTGCGGGGTTCCCCTTGTTTTGTGGTTGCATGGGCAGATCTCTCAGCTCTGCTCGTGGTCACCCCCACACACACTCAAAGTCTCAGAACCATCCTGCTGAGGTTCAGAGGGGCCCTGGACACCTGCCATCCTCACTGCTCCACCCAGAACATGTGTGCCTAGACGCCAGGAGTCGCAGCTTTGCCCTTGGGTCTCTCAGTACATGAAGCCCTGGAGGGGGGCTTTGACAGCTCACGTCTTGTGAGGGGACCCTGTGTGTCTCTGTCCTTTGAGAGGGAGCCAGGCGAAGCAGCTCGGGAAGCGTATGTGTCTCTTTTTCAGGCTGCGATTCTTCTCGGTTCAGTCTGCCAAACCTTGGTCTGGGATCGAGGAGGCAGCAGACGCTCCACCGGTCCTCGTGTTTGCTCACTTCTCACCAGGAAGCTTTGGGGGCTGCGAGTCCAGGGGAGGCCGGCTGCCCTCTTGGCGTTCCAACCCTCCTCTTCTGCAGTAGATCTCTGTCTTCTCCAAACCAACTTAGCCACGGGATCTTTGTGTCCACCCTACTTCTGTGGGATTGTCACAACAGATGGAGAGGCGGTGACAGAAGAATCCCACTGGAGCACGTGACGAGTGCTCTATATGGCAAAGGGCTCCTAGGTTCAGGTGTGGCTTCCCCGGTTCCCAGGGACGGCAGGGGAGGCAGGGGAAATGGCAGGTGATTTTATCCTCGGGGGATGCAGGAATGTCTCCCTGGTCTGCTTCACAGGGTGCTTTTTGCTTTTACTCTCTGGAATCCTCCCCTACTTGACTGTCTGGAGAATCTGGCTCTAGGCCAGCCTCCCAAAGATGCAAGAAACTAGAGAGAGAGAGTGCTGGACGTTGGCAGTGAGGCTGGAGGAAGCACAGACAAAGTTCATGGGTTTATCCCCCAGTAAGGCCAAGCTTTGGGTCTAACTAAGGTCCACTCTTTTATTTTAATTTTTTTTAAACCAAAAACATTTTGTATTGAGGTAGAGCCAATTAGCAATGTGGTGACAGTTTCAAGTGAACAGTGAAGGGACTCAGTCATACATATACATGCTTCCATTCTCCCCCAAACCCAGCTTCCTGTCCTCCTTTGTCAGTTAAGAAAACTGACATACGGAGTAGGGGACATCCTTGAAGTCTCACAGCTCGTGAATGTCAGATTATGCATTCTACTGTCATCATCACCATCACCATCAACACAGACAGCAGCATCTGACCTTCAGAAGTTTTACTATGTGTCAGGTATCACGCTAAGGACTTTACATATATTATCTTATTTAGTCTTTGCAAGAACCTGTGAAAGAGTTGGCGCAGTCAATGGCATTTTTCTGATGAGGAAACCGAGAGCATTTGAATCTCGGCTCTCGGCCGAGAGCATTTGAATCCCTCAGCTGGTAAGGACCTGAGGTCAGAGCACTGCTGGGCTCCCAAGCCCACTCTTCCAACCTCCAGGCTTTTATTTTTATGTCCAAAATGACTAAGCGCTGACTATTCTCTGCTCTCCCCCCTCAAGGAAAGGTCTTAGAGGAATATTTCATTCCATTTTATATCACCTTTATCAGTCACAAGGCTGTTTTTCTGAGCTAGGAGTGTAGATATCATTGTGTCATCTGGCGATATTTTCTCTAGAAAAGAAATTCAGTTTCATGTGAGTCACCTTCTATGCTAAATTCTATGAATTCGCAATTTGAAAACCGACACTTCGCTTCACATTTTATTATCCTAAAAGCTTCAAAGAGAGAATTGTGTAATTTTGCTTGCACATGATCATCTGAAGGCAGAGCACTCCTTGCACTGTTTGAATCACTGCTGAAAGTCCTGGCTCTGCATCCAGCAGGGCCTCTGGAGACTCACCTGCACACACCCTGTTCACACAGAATGCTGCCTCTTGGCATCTTTTAATTAACGTGAGTGTGCTGCTTCAAAAGGGGCAAGAGAGTAGGAGAAAGAGAATTCTAGCTTTATTGTTTATCAGCCGTATGAGCTATGTACCCTTTAGGAGATTCACTTATGTCATCAGCAAATAGAGGACAGTAATATGTAGCTAATAGAGTTTTGAGAGAATTATGTGAGAATGTGTTAAAAGCACTTATCCACATGCCTAGCTCTTAGACATTAAATACACAACTCTCCTTCTCTTACCTGTGAGGGCTGACTGGCCAGATGATGGTTAGAGCTTGTCTGCCCTCAAGCATAGCAGCTGAGTGACAATATAATCACCCTTAGATTTTGTGGGGGGAATAACCGTATATGTCTTTCCTGTGCATGCATGCTCAGTTGTGTCCGACTCTTTGCCACTCCATGGACTGTAGCCTGCCAGGCTCCTTCATCCATTGGATCTCCAGCAAGAATACTGGAGTGGACCTTCAGAAGTTTTACTATGTGTCAGGTATCACGCTAAGGACTTTACATATATTATCTTATTTAGTCTTTGCAAGAACCTGTGAAAGAGGTGGCGCAGTCAATGGCATTTTTCTGATGACGAAACCGAGACTGAGAGCATTTGAATCCCTCAGCTGGTAAGGACCTGAGGTCAGAGCACTGCTGGGCTCCCAAGCCCACTCTTCCAACCTCCAGGCTTTGATTTTTATGTCCAAAATGACTAAGCGCTGACTATTCTCTGCTCTCCCCCCTCAAGGAAAGGTCTTAGAGGAATATTTCATTCCATTTTATATCACCTTTATCAGTCACAAGGCTGTTTTTCTGAGCTAGGAGTGTAGATATCATTGTGTCATCTGGCGATATTTTCTCTAGAAAAGAAATTCAGTTTCATGTGAGTCACCTTCTATGCTAAATTCTATGAATTCGCAATTTGAAAACCGACACTTCGCTTCACATTTTATCATCCTAAAAGCTTCAAAGAGAGAATTGTGTAATTTTGCTTGCACATGATCATCTGAAGGCAGAGCACTCCTTGCACTGTTTGAATCACTGCTGAAAGTCCTGGCTCTGCATCCAGCAGGGCCTCTGGAGACTCACCTGCACACACCCTGTTCACACAGAATGCTGCCTCTTGGCATCTTTTAATTAACGTGAGTGTGCTGCTTCAAAAGGGGCAAGAGAGTAGGAGAAAGAGAATTCTAGCTTTATTGTTTATCAGCCGTATGAGCTATGTACCCTTTAGGAGATTCACTTATGTCATCAGCAAATAGAGGACAGTAATATATAGCTAATAGAGTTTTGAGAGAATTATGTGAGAATGTGTTAAAAGCACTTATCCACATGCCTAGCTCTTAGACATTAAATACACAACTCTCCTTCTCTTACCTGTGAGGGCTGACTGGCCAGATGATGGTTAGAGCTTGTCTGCCCTCAAGCATAGCAGCTGAGTGACAATATAATCACCCTTAGATTTTGTGGGGGGAATAACCGTATATGTCTTTCCTGTGCATGCATGCTCAGTTGTGTCCGACTCTTTGCCACTCCATGGACTGTAGCCTGCCAGGCTCCTTCATCCATTGGATCTCCAGCAAGAATACTGGAGTGGGTTGCCATTTCCTACTCCAATATGTCTTTCCTAGGTGCTTGAAAAATATTGAATTTTCTCTGAGCTATGTGAAGACAAATGATAAGTTGTTACTATGTTCTTTTATCTGCCCAGGTCAGAAGTTACATCAAGAAAGCTCGCCTGGAAGGGGCCCGAATTCTGTGTGGTGAGGGAGTGGATACATTGAACCTCCCCCCCAGGAATCAGGCAGGGTACTTCATGCTTCCCACGGTGATAACAGATGTTAAGGATGAGTCCTGCTGCATGAAGGAAGAGATATTTGGTCCGGTGACGTGTGTCGTCCCCTTTGATAGTGAAGAGGAAGTGATTCAAAGAGCCAACAGTGTTAAATATGGACTGGCTGCCACCGTGTGGTCAGGCAGCGTGGGGCGTGTCCACCGGGTGGCCAAGAAGTTACAGTCAGGCTTGGTCTGGACCAACTGCTGGCTCATTAGAGAGCTGAACCTACCTTTCGGGGGGATGAAGAGTTCTGGGGTGGGCAGAGAAGGAGCCAGAGACTCTTACGAATTCTTCACTGAAGTCAAAACCATCACTGTTAAACACTGAACTCGGCCAGCGCAGAAGCTGATGCCCGGCTGCAGAGACTCAGTCGTCCGGTGTGGTGAAAAGAAACCCCTGCATAAATTTCAGCCAGGTTTTGACTCAGCAGAAGATTCTCTCTATAGCTTATCCTCTGTACCTAGTATTGTTACCGACTGGTGAAAAGATGCTTGCTCTTTTCAGTGAGGAGTCAAAGAGATCTCTGAATAGGAAGGCATACAAAGGAAGCCACACAAACATTGGGCTCCTCCTAAGTTGTGTTTTCATTGTTTCATCATTTTGATTCAATTCTTAAAAATTCACAGATAATTAGTTTCTTTTTCTCATTTGCAAGTATATGGTAAAAAAAAAAAAAATCTACAAAGTCAAAGAGAAACACATCACCATAATCTCTAACTTTGGGGAGATTGCAGAAATGGTCTCTCCATTCATCAGCAACTGGCATGGCTCATTGGTAATTGACTGTACCTCATTATGCAAGGGTGCTTTGAATGTTGATGATGTAATTTATGTGGGATTTGTCAGAGTAACCATATATGATAGGTCCTACTAAATATATCTTTATGAAGACAAAGAGAAATGAAATAATGACTACTTTTGGAAGATACTCAGAAGGAGTGTTTGATATTTTCATACTATGGAGTCTAATCAATTCCAATTCAAAGTGTAGCATCTCAGGACGCTTAAAATTTTCGAATACTGTATGGCTGAGTCTCTTTGCTGTCTACCTATAGCTATCACAGAATTGTTAACTATACCCTAGTATAAAATAAAAAGTTTTAAAACTTTACTAATCTTAAAGGAAACAATAAACGTTAAACAAGTTTAGCGAGCAGTCACCTTCTTCATGAATTGTCCTTTATTCTTATCTTCATCCTCTTAGGAGTGTAGACTTTTTACCAAGTATCAGTGATACTCTTAGCTCTTTTGTCCTGAATCTCCCGGTGTTCAGAGGAGAAATCTGAGATTTACGGACATTAAGTAGCACATTCGAGGCCCCAAAAATGATGTGGGGAAAGGAAGGACTTGAGTCCAGGGCTCTCAGACGCCGTGGCCTATGATCTCTGGCCGTTTCATGCTTATCTTGGGTGTTTCAGAAAAATGAAGTCCTCAGGGCTTCCGTGGTGGCTGAGATGGTAAAGAATCTGCCTGCCACACGGGAGACCCGGGTTTGATCCCTGGGTGGGGAAGATCCCCTGGAGAAGGGCATGGCAAACCACTCCAGTGTTCTTGCCTGAAAAATCCCATGGACAGAGGAGCCCGGTGGGCTACAGTTCACGGGGTCACAAAGACTTGAACGCAACTGAGCAACCACCACTTCGCACTTCAGTGGTTTGTAGAACACGTCGTGCTGGGTCTCCCCACTGTGTCTCCGTCCTGCTTTGCCCCTCCCTCCTCTCTCCTGCCTCACTCCACTCAGCCATGCAACCCAATCTATGCAGCCAACCCTTTCCCAAGTTCTGGTATGGGCCTTCCCATGCTGACCAAAAAACTATCTGTTCACCCATCTCTCTTCCTGATGGGACGGGAGTTCCTCCCCTCTGAAGTCTCAGATCACAGCCCAGTGCCCGGCTGTGCACAGAGGGTGCCCAGAACGAGTCGCAAGATGGAACGAGGGCTTCCTGGGGCCCCGGTGTATTGGTTGAATGATGTATGGGAGATCGGGGCAGGCGTACAGGATAATCTGTATCATTCTGTGTAGGATTTGGCATATGTTGGATTGTTTACAAATGCTGAAAATGACAAGTCCCTTTGAGGTCACGTGGTAGTGTCAGATTATACCTGGTTCTTAGCTTCTACCTTCTGCCCCCTCTCTTTCCCTCTTCCCTGGCTAGGGTCCTTGACCTTGATCAGGTAAGTGTAGGACCAATTCTGAGTGTCAGCAGGAAGAAATTCAGTAGCTCCAGTGTCTAAGAATCTACATCTTCACCCTTGTAGTTGATGTGGCCCAAGCTTCATCCTTATTTCTAATACCCAAGCCCTATCTTCAGTCCAAATTCTGACAACTGAAGCTCTTAGCTCCTGGTGCCTGAATACCCATCTCCCGACATGCTGGTTTTCTGTCTGGGACTCTGTCCTCCCTGGAATTTGGAGTCAGCCCTGTCNGTGAAGTCCTCCTCACTTTCATAGTTATGAGGGTACAACCTGGACTGTCCACATACCCTAAAAAGAAGCCTGTCTCTGATCCCCTCACACTCAGACATGTAAAGTTAGTCCCCATTCAGTGATGAGTTTCATGGGTAAAGTGTTCTTCCAAACTGCAAAGAATAACTTTGCCAATTACCTATAATAATCAGCCAGCATGCTTTTTTATTAAAAAATATTACTGATCAATCAGGGATCATCAAATATTTGGTGAAAGAGAAATATCAAGATATGTGAAAAGTGATGGACCACAGGAGAAACACAAAAGGAAGATGACAAAAAAAAAAATTGAATTAGCATCTTCAGAGAGGTTGGAGACAACAGTGCATTCAGACAAAAGGGTAGGCTGCTATGAAAAAAGAGCAGGCAGAAAACAGGAAAGAAGCCACGACAAATTAAACATTCGCCAAATACATTTTAAAAATCAGTAGAATTGAATCACTGGTTTGACTGAAAACTAAATTAGTATCTGGAAGATAAAGTTGAGAAAATAGCTCAGAATGTACAGAATGACTGAAAAGGAAAATATCCAAAAGCTGAGATGGCAGATAGATCTAGAAACTTATTAATATGTAACTAATCCACGCTCAGAGAACAAAAATGAGTAATGAAATAAATTAGAAAAGATAATTTCCCTCAACTAAAAAAATGATTTTCAGATGGACAATATTCACCAAGTGCTGAATACTAGTCTGTTAAAAACCTGAAATTCCTAATATAAAGCTTGTAGAGAGAATTACCAGAATACCTACCAAAAAAAAAAAAAAAAAAAAATCCACACAAAGTAAAAAACACAAAAAGAGCCCTAGAAGACTGTCATCTTACTTTACATTAATATTATTGATGCTAGAAGACAGTGGAGAAAGACTTCAAAGTTATCAGGGAAAATTGAGCCTCATTTAATAGCCAGCAAACTGTTACTTCAGAATTAAGGCAAAGTAAGTTATCCAATGTCTCAGAAATTTTCTTCTATGTCCTCCTCCTGGAATGACTTGGGGATATGAAAAAGAAAACTGAATGCAATGACCAGAACTGTCTGAGGAATAAAATGGAAAGACATTTCAAGTTATCAGCTGTTAATCAGGCCTAGAAAGCAGTTGGCCCAAATTAGAACAGGGAAGACAGGAGATAGTGACTAGAGAACATTGATTAAAAATACGTTTAATAATCTGGACGATCTTAGACATGTAAACAAGTACATGTAGGCTATTCTATCCATTAGAATAAAAGAAACAAAAAACTATTTAGATAGCATGATAAGACAAAGAAAAATGAAATGTGACATGACTTGGAAAAATTGAAGGGGTAAGTGTAAAAGCGTAGTCTTTTTTTTGGATGGAAATTTTCGGTAACATAAAAATCACATTTCTATCTTTATGGGCCTTACACACTATTTAATACTAAAATTGATATTTATATATTTTGAATATATAAGAAAGATTAAAGGCAAAAGGAGAAGAGAGTAGCAGAGGATGAGATGGTTAGACAGCATCACTGACTCAATGGACATAAGTTTGAGCAAACTCCAGGAGATAGTGAAGACAGGGAAGAAAGACTGGCATGCTACAGTCCACGGGGTTGCAGAGTCGGACATGACTTAGCCACTGAATAACAACATTTTGAATATCTCAATATCTGTTACTGGTTTTCAATTTTTAAAGTCAAACTATGTTGGAAACTTAACTAAACTAAGCTTGGAAGATGTCCTCCAGCACCCTGAGTGCTGCCTGTCTGCCCAGCACGATGCTCTAGAGAGGCCGACCCAGGAGACCCCTGTTCCCATCTCACCCGTCCTTTCCCTCCTATGAACACAGGAGGATGAGAGGCCCTTCTGGCCCTCTGTAGTGAATGTTCCCCTAAGCCAGAGCCCAGAGTTTTAAAATACATCTCCAAAGCTTGTGGTCCTTTCTTTTGGATTTGCCTAGCTCCTGGCAATTTGCTTAATCCTTTTCTTGGGGGTGTCTGCAGCTTCCTGTGGCCCCCATTAACAGTGGGTGGATCCACCCCAGAATGTCTCATTGATGAGCCCCTCGTAGCAGGCTTTGCGGATGACCCATTTCGGGGTGTACTTTGAGGAAGACATTATGTTCATGTGTGTCTAAAGCAAGCCTCTGGAATGTGTCCCGGTGTTCATTAGTCTAACGGTCCCAAGCATTTACATTGTCAGTTTCTGCTGCCACGCTTGTCAGGGCCACCGTCAGTGCTGACTCACTCAGAGGCCTTGTGCAAACCACTGGCATCAACACTCCATGGCTTCTGCCAAACAAACGCTAGGTAGCTCTTCTGGGAAGAGTCATATTTCTGACTGCAGCTGGCCATTCATCAAGCGTCCGGAATTGGCCCTAATCTTGTCTGTTGGCCCCGGATATGCCATCTCCCTGCTCTGATGAAGCTTTCCCATCCCACACCTCATTGCCTTCTCAGCCACATTCCTCCCAATCTTTATTTCAGGAGATATCATTGTTCTCCAATCTCACATAATTACCATTCCAGTGTGACTCAACAGTATTCAACGAAGCACTGAAAAATACTCCTTGGAACAGTAAGGACTGGCGGAGTCACTGAATCATAACAAGGTGGAGTTGCCAGGGACCTGGAGTTCACTGTGTCCAGCTCCCTCCCCCTCCCACATGGACAACGGAGGTACCGAGGGATTACCTGACCTGCCAAAGATCCTAACAGCCAACAGAGACTCTCAGGAGAACTGGACATGCAGAGATCCAAGCATGGGAAAGGTAGAGGTATTCTGAGGACAATGGAAATAATTGCAAGTTCTGATAAGTATTTTGGACTTCCTCCAACAGATAGTAAGCAGCTGGCCTCTGTCTCCACTGAGGATAAGACATGGGGATGGAGGGGGTAGGTTCTTAATTACAGTTTGAGTTTTTATGGAAAAGAAGTTACTTCATTTCGATGTTTCCATTTCAGAAATAGGGAACGGTGGAGGAGATGGGAACCCCTTTCTGGACTCTGAGCAAGGGTGGTGCCCCTGTCAGGGGAAGCTTTCCCATCCCACACCTCATTGCCTTCTCAGCCACATTCCTCCCAATCTTTATTTCAGGAGATATCATTGTTCTCCAATCTCACATAATTACCATTCCAGTGTGACTCAACAGTATTCAACGAAGCACTGAAAAATACTCCTTGGAACAGTAAGGACTGGCGGAGTCACTGAATCATAACAAGGTGGAGTTGCCAGGGACCTGGAGTTCACTGTGTCCAGCTCCCTCCCCCTCCCACATGGACAACAGAAGCTCGGAGGGATTACCTGACCTGCCAAAGATCCTAACAGCCAACAGAGACTCTCAGTAGAACTGGACATGCAGAGATCCAAGCATGGGAAAGGTAGAGGTATTCTGAGGACAATGGAAATAATTGCAAGTTCTGATAAGTATTTTGGACTTCCTCCAACAGATAGTAAGCAGCTGGCCTCTGTCTCCACTGAGGATAAGACATGGGGATGGAGGGGGTAGGTTCTTAATTACAGTTTGAGTTTTTATGGAAAAGAAGTTACTTCATTTCGATGTTTCCATTTCAGAAATAGGGAACGGTGGAGGAGATGGGAACCCCTTTCTGGACTCTGAGCAAGGGTGGTGCCCCTGTCAGGGGAGGATGAGCGGCAGGGGTGAGGTGGCGGAGCCCTGGACGGTATTGCGCGGTGCCCGACAGCAAGGGCGGCGCCCCGAGCGCCAGGTGCCCACTGCCCGTGTGGCTGCGCGGGCACCGAGCGCTTTGCCCGCAGCCTCTCAAGGGGTCCGCTTATCTGGTTACAGGGTCTGCTCCTGGGAAGTGAACAGCAGGGACGGATGAGTCTCTAAACAGAAGAAATCTGATTTTCCTGCAACATCCCTGCGAAATCAAAGCATGTAAGAATCATTAAGACAGGTAAAAACTTGATGATCATCTAATTTATCTTTTGGGTGGGGGGTGGGGTGGGGTTGGATTTTTAAACCATTTCTCTGATGTTTCAAGTTCAGCAAAATGCATGCTTCTGGAATCCATTTTTGCATTCACTTCAGGTATCTTCGGGGAAATACACTCTCACACTCAGTAGTAATAAATCACCAGGAAGCAGTTCGAAGGGGTTATTTATAACTCCTCGGGATCCCATGGCCCCTGGCCGGCACTTGGGCTGAGTTAGTGGTCCGCGGTCAGACTGCGTTCCATCATCAGGATGGACATGCCCTGTTCCCGGTGGAAGAGACATAAAGCGCTGATGAAGCACTTGCCCCGAGCTGCGACCGCACTGGCTCTGCCTTCTGCCCTTCCTCTGACGGCCTAAATAAAGCCAGAGAGTTCACATCTCCCGGACAGTGGTTCCAGGGAATGTACTGCACCCTTTCCTCAGGATGTTGCTAGTGCATCCTAATCTTGAGTAAGACTAACTCCATGAACTTTAAGGTTAGAAACAATTAGACAAGAAAATCCCTTCCCTAGATTTCTTGTAACTGTCAAAAAAAGATGAGGAGTGAAAACATTGCCCCATGCCAGACTTCTCACTCTCGTGAACCTTTGAACCATATTGTTTATTAAAAAGAATATGACAGTCCCCTGGCATGATAAGGTGAGCCATAACTATTTCTGCCTTTTGACTGTTGTTTATGCTTTGCTATCCATCATAAGTACCCACATAGCCCTAGAAACTGAAATAAATGCTGTGATTACTCCAGACTGTTCCGCACACTGACCCCGTCATTCACCTCTTCTTCATTACAGGAAAATCCTGCTTCTGTCTTCATCAGTCCATTTTGGAAAAATGACTTAAATCTTGGCAACTATAGATAACTTTGTATATCCTATGTGGATTGCTTTAGAGGTCAAGCATACAGAGGCAGCATTTAATTTTCAAGCTCTGAAGGATCCGAAGGTGGCCCAGTCCTGTTCCCCCCTCCGCATTTTTTTCATCATTTATGTATTTTGAAACATATGTCAGTGTCTCTGTGTGTTTTCCATGCAGTGCCCTGAAGATGAGTTTCAACATTGTTTCATTCTCTGCGGAGTGTAAACTCCTGGAAGTCAGGGATTGTATTTTATGTTAGATGAATGCCAGGATTTTTCTTTATTCCTGCAGATCCTAGATCAGTGCCTTTGACAGAGTGGAAACTGAATACAAGTTTACTGTACTTGGACTGAATTTTAAAATAAGGATCATTATACGACTATATCAACTGTCTTTTGTTCTGGAGAAATAATGCATGGTTTACAGTGAGGCTGAGACTGAGATGCAATAGTCAAGCTGATCTTGACTGATTTCTGGGTAGGCCCGTCCATCCCACAAACACGAGTACAGAAACCAGGTGTCCTGGGCCATCAGACAACACAGGATCTGAAGCCAGGCTGCTTGTTTCTTGGCAGAGGGTTGTGGCCCAAGTGGCAGGTAATGGATTCAGGCCCTCAGACCACTCAGGAGGTGTGTCCTGGCCCAGGTCCTGTTCAGGTGCACAGTATTCAGAGAGTTCATTAAATGTCGCCTCTCGACCACCACTCAGGAAGGGGTAGGCTTCACTGTGTGGCTGAAAGGCAATGGTTGTACCAGCATTGCCTTAGGTCTCCTAGAATGACTCATAGAATTTCTGTAATACTCTCCAAAATGTGTGTCTGGGATCTGAAGGAGGAAGAAACACTTTGTACTTGAAGATGCAAGAGAGAGTGTAGGTACTGATAAGTCAATCTAATGACAAAACGTTAAATGGGCAGCATGAGCTACGGTTTTGTGGGAATTTAAAATCAGATATGTATTGACTCAAGTGTTTTGGGTTAAACTCACTAAAGCAATGAATTGTACCTTATAAAATGAAGCCTTTTAGTGGGGTGATCTGGCCATTCAACGAAGAGGTGACATCATGGACCAGAAAAGTCCCTGGGGCCAGAGTTTGGACATGTCATTCACAAGTTCTACTTTCATCTCCTGAAAACCCTGAAGCCATTATTTTCCTTCTCTCAACCCTTTCTTCCTATGACGGCTCCTTCATTGTGACACATGCAAAATTCTGAATTCCATCCATGGATGAGAAAAAAATCTCACCTTATTTCTGCAGCATAGGGAAAAAAAAACAAAAAAAAACTTTTCCTCTATATTCTTAGGTTTATACCTGGGGCCTGTATGTTAAACTGACAAAAGATTAACAAGAGCAAAGGCATCACAATTTTATGAGTATGAGGGCTCCAGAGAAAATGAAGCCCTCTAAAAAGGAGTTATACTTGTGGGGAAGGGCTTATATGCCATCTTAACAAAGATACTTGTGGAGAAAGGATGGAGCGAAGAAGGAAGGAGAGTTAGGGCTTTTGGGAATGGTGACTTGTGGGAAGGGAAATACATGCGGGAAGCTAACAGAGTGTGCGTGCAGAGTCGCTTAGTCATGTCCGACCCTTTGAGACCTCATGGACCGTAGACCCCAGGCTCTTCTGTCCTTGAACTTTTCCAGGCAAGAATACTGGAGCGGGTTTCCATTTCCTCCTCCAGAAGTGAACGGCAAATGAAGGTTATTTTGTAAGGTTTGTTGACGCAGACTCATCTAGGTACTGTCTCTGTCTCATAAAGGTTGTTCTCTTTCCGGTCTGGGAGAGGGCGGGAGACACCTTCACACAGGAATTTATGCCCTGGTTTTTTTTTTGGTAAATATTTTGTTTGCAGTTCAAAATAATCCTTATACCAAAGCAGTATACTTTGGCGTGGCATATACTATGCTTAGTCGCTTAGTCGCGTCAGACTCTTTGCGACCCCATGGACTGCAGCCCGCCAGGCTCCTCTGTCCATGGAATTCTCCAGGCAAGAACACTGGAGTGGGTTGCCATTTCCTTCTCCAGGGGATCTTCCCTACCCAGGGGTCGAACCCTGGTCTCCTGCATTGCAGGCGGATGCTTTATCATCTGAGCCACCAGGGAAGCCTGGCATATATTGATCCCCTTTTTTGCTTATTTATTTGTTTGGCTACACAACAGGATCTTTGGGTGTCTCAAGCAGGCTCAGTAGTCGTAGCGTGCAGGCTTTCTAGTTGTGGAGCAGCATGCAGGTTCTTAGTTTCCTGACCAGGGATGGAACCCCGGTCCCCTGCCCTGCAAGGCAGATTCTCAACCACTGCACCACCAGAGAAGTCCCTCCCCTTTATTTTGTATATTTCCCATCACTTAAAGAAAAAATACGCCCACTACAGCTAAGTGAGGAAATGTTTGGATTTATGCTTGGATGAGAATATTCTGGGAGAAAAACACACCCAGTTGGAGGGCAAGTGATGTGGATGCTGTGAGTAATTGGAGTTTTTAAACTGGGTTTTCAAGGGCCCGTGTACTCAGAGAATGGCATCTGAGCAAAGATAAAATGCAAAGGCTAGTACAGATTCTGCACCTCTGGGTTCCAAGCTTGTTCGAGAACAGAAATGAAAAAAGTGGATGTTAGTGGGTAGAATCATCATTTTAAGAAGGTCAATGAAAAAGGAGTTGACCTTACCCACAGGGACTTGACCAAGTCTAACTTTTATTAGTCTGTGATGGTAAAGTGGAAGGAAGTCCAGGTCCTGACTGTGAAATGAAAGTGGACGTTTTTTCCTAGTTTTCTCAAGATTTTGCATCTGAAAGGAATCTTTTCAGTAATGACTGAGAACAGAGATTTCATCAAGGATTTATTTCTTAGTGTGTTATATTTTCAATATTTAATGAGAATATTTTGAACGCCCTTGCTATTTGTAAGGTCAGACAATGGAACTCAAAAAGAACAGGTTCTAGTATATGTGCTGCTGAAGCGAGCAGTATTCTTGCCTGGAAAAATCCATGGACAGAGGAGTCTGGCGGGCTGAAGTCCATGGGATTACATGACTGAGCATGTGTGCACGAGGGTGGAGGGAGATGGGTTGGTAGCAATAAACTGGTAGAACTAAAAAAAAAAGAACAGGTTCTGAGTCTTTCATTTCACAGAGCTTTTAAGTGAGGGAGAATGAAAAAGATGACTAAACAGCAGAACAAGAATTAAGTAACACAAAGTCATGTAAATAAACACAATACAAAGCAAGGTGGGTATTATCACAAGGCAGTATTTTCCTCTTGGGAAATCATCAAGAAGATCTGGAAAAGCACATGTTTTTGTTGAGGGGTGAGATGCTGAAATGCTAGAAAAGGAAATGTATTTCCAAGCATGGAGACAATTTAGTAAAGCATTACTGTTACCCTTTCCCTTAGGATGATTCCATTCCTCGGGAATTGGTGAGTTTAGAGGATGCTTCTAAATAGACACCTCTCTCATCCCTTTACCTAGCCTGAGGTAACTGTGAGTGAATTGCGTTCAAAGTGAGTTTCCTTAAAAGAAGCCAGGTCCTCAGAGGTGGGTTAACTGGGGCCATGCATTTTGGTCCTGGGAATCTCTGTTTAATTTGGGGACACTTGCTGTCTTTCGGGGAGCTGTTTGGTTCATGATGACTTTCACATCCTTGTTTCCTTTCCTCTAGGAATTTCTGGTCTCCCATGGACCATTTCTTGGCCTGTTAGATATTTATTTTATAGTGTGGAGTTTTCCCATTTGGATATTTATTCTTGACCTGATGTTTTGCACTGAATGGAGATTTCCTGAATTAAATAATCGCACCCCTGAAAGTGCATGTTTCATAAGAAAGATTTCCTTTCAACAACTTTGTAAATCCTTTGTAGCCTAAGTTTGCAGACTGTTCCATTTCTCTAGCAGGGTTGACCTCAAAGATGTCAGGGTGGGATTTTAAGATGCAAATATTTCTATACCCACCACCCTCTGTTGGAGCTGTGAAATGACGTATGTCCTGCAACTGGCCAGAGTTACGGGCTCACTCTGCCTCAGTCCTACCGGCCTCATTCAGTCATTGAGCCCCACGTGGCTGTCTCTGCCCTGCCCCACGTGGCTGTCTCTGCCATCTGATGGATGGAAAACACTGACACTGAAATGGTGCCTGGGAGCCCTGTGGCTGGCTTGGAGGGGATTTGTTTATCTAGGTTTGGGCTGTCCTTAAACAACAGGCAGGTGGCTTTAAGGCAGCCTCTGAGATCTAATGCGGCTTGAATCATCCCCAAACCATCCTCCCACTCCTCCATCTGTGGAAAAATTGTCTTCCACATTACTGGTCCCTGGTGCCAAAAAGGTTGGGGACCACTGCTTTAAGGTCATGGGGAAATAGAATCCAGAGTTGACCTAGTTATCACCAACCCCAAATCCTCTTCAGTAGGAATGATATTGGTGAATTGTGCTTTACAACTGTGGTTAGGAGGCAGGGCAGGGATGGGGGCTCTGGGACCACTCAACTGCTCACCTTTGTTTGCTTTCAGGGTTTAATTTTGTAGGGAGATAATTGTTTGGGGGTTCCCTGGTGGCCTAGTGGTTAGGATTCTGAGCTTTCACTGCCATGGTTTGGCTTCAGTTCCTGGGGAACTGAGATTCTGCAAGCTGCATGACCACCACCATCAACAACAAAATAATAATTATTTGTTTTCCCGTCCTGGTAATGTCTGCTCACCAGAGATGAGGACGTAGGGGTGGCTCCTGTTACAAACAGTATGAAGCCCTCTCTACAGAACCAGACAGAGGGCCTGCAGTGGGTACTGCGTTTGTATGCCTGATGCCACTGGGAGCCCCTCATCCAGGACTGGGGATGTAGAACACCTCATTCTTTTCATTTTTTATTTTTGGTGTGTTTTACAGAGTAATTTTATATGTGTGCCAGTCTCTGGAATTTTTTTTAAGACCTGCATCATCACACAGTCTCCGCTCCATCCACCTCCCCCACCCTTAGGTATTTCTCAGATAGGATCGGAACAACTTGTGCTCAGAGCTTGCATCACGGGCTCCCCTGTGATCTGTACATGCATATCTGTCACCGAGTATTGCTAAGTCAGATGAAATGTGAAGATTATGGGGACTCATATTAGGTTACAGATCCTTGAGACAGCATGTGAGGTGGCGTGACAACTAATGTTCCCTGGTGCGGTTTCTGAAGTTGGCCTTTCTGCAGGCTGTGCAGTTTTCAAGGAAATGGCTGAGTGGTTTTGTTCTGGTTGCTGGCAGGGAATGGGGACGGATGAGGAGAAACTCACTGTACCTTCAAGTTGTGGTCAAGGGCAGGAACAGAAAAAAAAAAAGGAAAGTCCAACCTGGCTGATTGTCCTTGGCACTGACCTGGCCCATGAGCTGATGTCCACTGAATGCCTTCCTGGTGCAGTGATCGAAGGTGTCTGGGGAAATGTGCACTCCTCTGGGGCTGGCTGTTTCTCTGCACAGTGCTGCTCTGTATCAGGAAGACAGGAAGAGCTGATGCCTTTCATTTCTCTGCTGCCTTGCAGGTCCTGGAGTGGGAGAGTTCTGGGGTGGGACAGCTGGGTGGGCATTGCAGCTCTGGGTAGCCTGTCCCCACAGGAATCCCGGTGGGCCTCAGGGAGGGGCAGTGAGTGAGATCTGGCCACTGGGTGTATGGCTCCTGGTCTCTACCGTCTGTGGACAGTGTGACTTTCATCAGGCTGAAGATGGCTTCATTATGAATGTTTCTTGACCAGCTGAGGAAATATACATTGAGGACAAAAGTGCTTCTCAAGTAATGAAAGACAAATTCCTCTCTAATCATGAATTATTTTTTTACATCTGAATTGGAGTTCACAAATCCTAGTGAACATGCGTGCATGCGTGTGTGTGCTCAGTTGTGTTAGCTCGCTGTGACCCCACCCTTGAGGCGCCTCTGTTCATGGGGTTTTCTTGGCACATAGCTTATTTCATTTACTATGTACAGGACTTGAGAAGAGCTTGGACCAGGCGGTAAAGAAAGGTGGTTTTGCTGTATAGTTCAGCC